TTGGTTGGTTGGCTGGCAGGGGTGGGGGATGTATCCGTGCTAATTGGCCTCGGATGCATGGGTCTAGCTGCTATGGTTTTTTGCTGTGGTGCATCTGGCCCAAGAAATTTGGAGGACCAGAAGACATGGAAATGGCAGACTACAACTCCCAGTCTCCTTTCTCCAGCATGGCTGCCGGCTGGAGTATTGCAAGAGTTCTGGCACCCCAGAGAAAACCAACATTTCCCATCTCAGCATGTCCCATGTTTGTCGGCATCGTGCACCATCAAGTGGCCTTGGACGTACGGCGACCCTGCGCATGAGTGCTCTCCCAAAAGTCCCTTGCTTTTTCCCTGCCCTGAGGGTCTTGTCTTCCAGCACTATCTCTTGTTTCTTTGGCATTGTCCTGGCCCTCTAGTCCAGTGATCACCAACCTTGGGCCTCCAGATATTCTTGGACTTCAACTCCCAGAAATCCTGACCAGCAGAGGTGATGGTGAAGGCTTCTGGGAGTTGGAGTCCAAGAACATCTGGAGGCCCAAGGTTGGGCACCACTGCTCTAGTCGCCTCTGGCTCAGGGTGATCCTAGGAAGGAGCCACCTCCGAAGGGTCGTCTCCTGAACAGCCGTGCTCCGTTCTTGTAAACCCCAAGCCCGTGGCTTCCTGGAGGGCGTCAGTACTTCTCGTGTTCTAGAAATGTTGCAAAGTTTGTGCCACCCCTGTAAATCTCCCTTAGGAAAGAAAGCTCTTACAGAGAGGGAGGGTGTTTTGGAGGGGGAGAAGGTGTCGAAAGGCCCCCCAAAAGCCCACCTCCCAAATCGGCTTGTCTGGATACCTACCTGCTTCCCCCACCCCTTCTGAGGTCTCCTTTTTTTCCCACCAGGACTTTGTACCTATAGATAGCAGATGGCATTTGGGTTTTATTTCCTTTTGCTTTGTTTGTTTGGGAAACAGCTTTCAACAGGATACCACCCACCCTGCTCTTGAGCTGTGCGAGGTCCCAGACTGTGAGGGAGAGGATTTTTCTCCCTGACCAAGCTTTTAAAAAAGAAAACAAGTGACCTTCTGGGAAAATGGATCAGAAATGTGGATCTCCTAGGGTGATCGGTCAAGAAGGGGCTGACATTTTGGCAACCGCTGCAATTCTGTCGTCATCTTGGCCAGCACAACGTTCAGAGCCCCTTTGGGAAAAGAGATTTCACAGCAAGGCCAGGCTTGGCAATGCATGGGCGCATGTGTGGGTGTGTGCTCAACCCCCCTTGGCTGCCCCGTGTTGTGCCGTTCATGCATTCCCAAGTCTGGAGCGGTGCAGTTAAGCAGGCCTCTAGTGAAGCACAGTGTGTCTCTGTGTGGATTGGGGCAGGGGCCCGTAGTTCCTTTCTGGATGCAACCCCTGAGTCTTAAGCAAATCCACGTAGGGCGTCCGAAGATCAGGCCTGGCAAAGCAGGGGCCATCTTTTTTCCGCATCCTGATTTATTTTATTTTAGGGTCAAGGGTTAGGGTTTGTTTTTCAGGTAGAGAATGGTCAGCCGTGGTTTCCTCTCCCCTTCTTCTGGGACTGTGCAGCTTGCCCATGGCTACACAGGCTGGCTCATAGGTAGCCTGCGCTTTGCACATATACCCAGAATTGGGGGGGGGGGGGGGGACTTTTATTTTTCTACTTGCGTCACCAACCCTTTCTCCGTTTCAAAGACCCAAGAGTCAAATGCTACGGAAGCGTCCGGCTCCCTTCCGAGGTTTTTCTCCGCTGCCGTATCTTGCATTTAGCATGCTCGGTGCTGGATTAGTTGCAGCAGGGAATTGCGGGCTTAGTTTGCGAGTCTTCACCGTTGCCAAGTCGTCGTGCATCTCTGAGGGAAATCGCGTTGCGGGAATCGAAGCCGACGAATTGCCAGGAAGAGGCATTTATTTGCCTTAATGCCTGGAATTCACATTAAATTTTGATAGCTGCGTTGGAGTCTCCTGCAGCAAAACAACAAGGAATCGGGCGGCACTCTGGGGAGATTAAAAGAAGCGTGACACGATGCGCTCTTGGTGCTTCCTTCGTACCCCATCTCTGTGTCTATATTGGGGCTACTTGGGAGCCGTCTTTCCTGTAAGAAAAGGCTTTGCCTTTCCTCCCTTGTGGTTTCATGACGTGCCTCCTAAACACAAGGAAAAGAAATCTGGATTTGTGGAGCATCCAGAGATGCAACAGGCCATCTCCTTCCGGTGGAGAGGCAGCTCGCTTTGCGCTTTTAGGAGCTGTTCTGCCTGTTGTTATTTTTTAGTGTGGTCCTGTGACGATTGTGTCCAACCACTCAAGGAAAGCCAGGGCGGCACTCAATTCTGCTTTGGTTAGACTTCACCTCGACCCGAGTTCAGTTCCAGACACCAGAGCTTAGGAATGACATAGAGAAGCTCGTATGTGGCCAGAAGAGGGTGGCCAAGACAGAGAGGCATCCCGTGAAGGCCAGTTGAGAAAGTTAGATAGGTTTTACTTAAAGAAGACTGAGGAGGAGACAGAGCAGCCATCTTGAAACAACTTCAGGCTTGTTTTCTGCAGAAGGAGAGGGTAAGATCGATGGGTTCAAATCACAAGGAAGTGCTAAGCATCAGGCAGAGCTTCCTGTCCACAAAAGCTGTTTACAGGATGGAACAGACGGTGCTGAGGACTCATCTGTGATCAGTTCCCAAATGTTCCATCGATTGGTGAGATGCTACAGCTCTAGATTGGTCCATTTGGCAGGGGGTTGGTCTTGATGATCTTTGGGGGTCCCTTTGAGCTCGGAGACTCTCTAGCGGCCTCACCTTCCTCCCTAATGCGGGGACTTTTGGATCTGGCCCAGAAGAAGGACCAAGGATGGGCCAGCCCCACCGGTTTCAGGCCCTGCTGCCGCCTGCGCGGTGGGTCCCTGGATGCCGTCCAGGGCCGGTGGCCCAGAAGGAAGGGCGTGGGCTTACAGCTGGGCCGTGGAGATGGGAGGGACGGTGTTAGTGGCCAGCTGCTCCTTGATCCTGCCGAGACCGGATGTGCAGGGTGTGGACTGGATGGGGGTGGAAACGTCTCTGTGAGTGCGTGCGTGTGTGTGGACACAGGGCTTTGGCATCCATTTGAAGCCACTTAGACGTGCCAAAAAAAGCAAAGCAATGCAAGAGTTGTTTCGGAGTAAATTCTATATTCTGATTTACGTCTACAGTTGCAGAACTCATTGAAAGAAAGATGCAATCAGGGCATCTCACTCAAGGGGGAATGACAGTGACTGGGACACCCATGTGCCACAGTTGCTGCCCAGGGGCTTCTACCTGGGGGTGATGGGCAAATTCCAGGTCCAGGATTCAATCCTTTTAAAGCTAAATATGTGGATTCCTGTCCCTTGGTGGGGAGAGCCTCCTGCTTCGGTGGGATGTGTCCGGTTGTGTGTGTTGTCCACACAACCCTCAGCAAAGAGGGTAGGCTCTCGCCCCTTCTCATCTTGCCTGGCACCAGGGGTTTTGCACGTTCGGGAGTTCAGGAAGCTCTGTGGAGCCAGCGGTTGGGAATTCGAATCCTCCTTGAGAGGCGCTGGACTTGATGCTCCAGAGGGTCACTTCTAGCTCTGTAGTTCTAAGATTATTATTATTATTATTAAGATTATTATTTCGGAGCCCCTCTCTGATCTCCACATCCCGTGTTACTTGGTCCCGTCAGCATGTGGAGTGTTTGTGAACATCCCGTGCTGCCACAAAACCATCCACTGTTCGACTGCTTTAGGCGCCGCCCCAGGAGAAGTTACCATGGGGAGCAAGCAATCTGAGTTTCTCAGCTTGGTGCGCCCATCCATCTGCAGAGCTACTGACTGACTGACTGACTGACTGATTGATTGATTGGCTTTGGTTCCTTGTGATGCATCCGCCCCCTCTTTAAAACCAGGCCATAGGGGCTTACCTGTCGGTTGGGAAGCCTCCTTGCCATCACCCTCATGATGCCAGTCAGGAAAAGGAGCGAGTGGCTGGCAGGAAGAAGTGTCTATTTTTAGCCACCAAAAACACACAACCCCCCCCACATCTAAAGGGGGCAGAGGAGGAAAGAGCGGGTTGGGTGGGGTCAAGAAGCAGGGAAGGAAAAGGCTGGCTGTCCTCTCTCAGCTGTGTCCGGTTCTTTGTGAAGCACAACGAGGCTTCCCACCCCCACCCCACCCACTCTGAAACACTCTGGGTCCCTCTTTGATTCCATCTTGGCACGTACAGCACCCACCATATCTTTCTGGAAATGGACACATACACACACACCCACAACCCACTTCCTTTCAATGCTGTACCTTTGTTATACCTGTGTCTGTGTGCATGAATGCCTCCGGTAGGGTCTTCCTACCACCTTTTCACATCCGGTGACCTAGGCACACTTGGGCGTGCAAACGCCTCCCTGCACATTCTTTGCCCTGTGCAAAAGTAGTGCTAACCCTGTTACAGAGTTTTGAACTTCTGGTTAAATTGCTGCAGCTGCCCAGCAGAAATGCAGGGGGTCCACAGAGCAGAATTAGCTTCAAGTTCCCACCACCACCCTGCCCCAGTGGTCCACTCCTTTTTTTCCCCCTCAACCTACAGTCTCCATAACTTACTCTGAGATATTAGCAGGAGAAAAAATAAAATAAAGAGTCCACTTGGTTTTTTCTTCTTGGATCGTTTCCCCAACATTTAATCGAAGGTGTCTTTCGAACGTTAGAGCCGGCAAATGTTTATAATTTTCGCCCGAGCTGGGATGGGAAAAAGCTGAGATATGGAAGTTGTGAAGGGGTGGAAATGAAAAGGTTTCTCCAGGCAAGGCAGAGGGACTCAGCCTTTTTGGAAAGCATGGCTCCGAATCCCTCTGCGGGCATGCGCTGGAGCGCTGAATGATGGCTACCTCGTACGTGGTCTTCTCCCATGAGGTCTTTCATCTTTTGGTGGCTCTAGGTGCCACGTGGCCCTCTGGGAACGGTTCTACCTGTTGAATTTGTCTGGGTGCAGGTCGCTGTGAGTTTCTGTCCCCTTCTAACATCCGGTCCTCTTTCTTTTTTCAGCATCATCGAGACGAGTACGATCCATCAGGAGAGACTCCAGGCCATCGCGGTAAGTCCAGGCTGCATCTGCAGTTCGGCTTTTAAAAACTGGGCTGCTTTCACAATATTGGCAACAACGACAACTTGATATTTGCGATGCCTAAGGTGCTCAAGGGTGCAGAAGAATTATTGGGTTGAATCCCTATGTAGTTAAATCATTATTCTTATTGTTGTTCCTGGGAGGCAACTCAGCCTCTCTCTTAGCCAGGCGTGTGAAAGATTCTCGATAGATCTCTTGTTTGCATCCATTCACAGTGTCTCAGCCACACGACATATGCTTGGAAGAGGGATTTCCATCTCATTCAAGAAGGTCACGGTGGTTTTCTGGGGCTACAGCTCCCAGAATGCCTAAGCTGGTCTGGCTGATGGGAGTTGTAATTGATTCTGCCAATGCAAAAACGTAACTCCTCCCAGCTCTGATTGCAAGGGTAAGGGCAGAAATAGATGTTATAACTAGCCTGGGATTGGAAGGAGGAATTCCTTAACAGCCAAAAGCATCTGAGTGCACAGCAGGAGTTTTCGCCTCACTAGCTGGGCAAATTAGCCAGCTTTGTTGTGAAACTGGTCTTCAGGATGTACATAAGCATGAAATTCCTCTGAAGGCTGATTTCATAAATGCAGAAATATGGCCAGTTTATGTCTTGCCAACCCCAGCATGGTTTCAGCGCTAACAATGGGGTGATATTTAATACCTGTTTCTGCCTCAAAGGTACTAGGATTGAATCTCCTGGAATTTCTGAAGCTATAATGCATTTAGGAGTGTGGTTTTGTTTTGGTTTGTTTTGTTTTGGGGGTTTTTTGGAGGGGGGTTTCAACAGAGCAACGTATGGCTTGCAGAGGTTAATTGAACTCAGAGCCAGTCACGGGGGATGTAGGACACTCGGATCTCTGGCACCGCTTTGGCCTTGGCTGGAGGCCGGCACCTTGAAGCTCCTCTCCTGGGTCGCCAGCTTTCCGATGCTCCTCCACTGATAGAAAAGGCAAACACAATGGAGGGGATTGTTGGAGAGCCGGCTGGCCAGGAACAGGGCTTGGAGGGGCCGGGAGGGTGGAGGATGCTCGATCGGGGACATGGGTGGAGGAGCCGAGGCAGAGCTGACCGGAGAAATGGAGGGAGGGCCATGAAAGCTTTCTCCGAGGTCTGGACGAGTCCAGAGGAAAGGGTGCGTGTGCGCATGCACGGATGGATTGGGCCACCTTAAAAGCGCTGGTTCCAAAATATTGTTTTAAAAAGAAAAGAAAAAGAAAGAGAGAAAGCAGGAGGCAAGAGAAAGTCCTTATTTCCTGGGCCATCAAGGCATGGCTTGAAAAACAAAACTCAGAAAGGAAACGGCTCAGTTTTTCCACACAGGGCAGGAAACAAAAGATGCTTTTCCGAGGGGTGGGGTGGTTTCAACCCGCTATGGTCCCCCAATGGACGAAAATTACATGAGAGGCTGGTTTGTTCTACTTGCGCTTCAGCCTCCAGCCATTTCCTTTGGGCCAGGGATCTGGTCCCTCGATTCTTTCTTTCTTTCTTTCTTTCTTTCTTTCTTTCTTTCTTTCTTTCTTTCTTTCTTTCTTTCTTTCTTTCTTTCTTTCTTTCTTTCTTTCTTTCTTTGTGCCTTGGAGTGAATTAGACCACACTCAAGGGCATTTTGCTACATGAAACAAAATTCGTTTCAGGTTTATTTTAGCCTGGGGCACGGGTGCAGGGCAGATGCCCTCCCTTGAGCTCTGGGTGACGTCTGTGAGGATGCTTCTCTCATCTTGGGTTTCTTTTTACAACCACCCTGTGAGGTAGCTCAGCCCCTGGAGAGAGGCTAGCTAGGAATCTCACACAAGGCCAGATGGGTAAATAGAAGAAAGCAATGTCCTTGGGTTGCGAACCGCTTCTGTGGTCCTTCAGTCTAGCGTTTGCCAAAAAAAAAAATTCTTGTTTGCCTCTGGGAGCAAAATCTGGTCACTCTGTTGGCCGAGCACACGTTTCCTGGCTCAAGGTCCGCCTTTGATTTCCCTTCCGAAAGGAGGGCAGGAATGCATCTCGAACAAGAGATGGCATTGTCTGTCTTTCCTTTCGAGAGGAAGAAAGGGGGGGAAGGGACTGAACTTCCCTCCACTTTAATTAAATTAAAATTCCACTGGGGAATTATTTGGTGTATACACATGTGTGTGTGAAGCTTTGGCAGGAGTTTGGACAATAAAGTCACTCACCACGGACGGGGCTTGTTGGAAAGAAGGTTCTCTTGCCATAGAGCTAGTACGGTTGAGGGACGCTCAAATCCATGTGTTGGAGAGGAGTTAGGGTTGATTGAACAGCACCAAGGTGCATTGAAGTGCATTGTGTATATCTATTTTATATCTCTAATTTGTTCTCAAAGCAAATTAAAGAGGGAAGGGTGGGGGCATGTCTGGTACAGTATTTAGTTGGTCAGGATGTCCTTTGTGCACGCGCGTGTGAGATTGTGTTACACGCCAGCCCCTCAATACTCACATTTGATCATGTTTCTATAATTTGAACAGAGAGGGTTTGAGGCCTTACCCTTCTGTAGCCAGGAAGGAATGGAGAGGGTCTATACAAGTTAAAGAATGTCCATAGGGTGACATTCATGGGTCAGATTGGGGTCAATTCCCCATTTAACTTGAAAAAAAAGTGCTTGAGAGTAAGAACCAGACTCCCCCCCCTTTTCCGTTTTGAAATGTTCTATTTGTTTTTAAAAAATAGACACAAAAAACACATCCTTTCTTATTTGTTGGCGGGACGGGTGGGGTGGGGAGAAGTGCAAAGCGAAACCGGGAGTCCTTCCAGGCCTGCTGGTTGACCTCTGACTCTGACTAAGAGTTTGGGATTGTAAGGGTTTTTCCCCTCCCTCCTCCCTCTCTTCTGAACGACCCTCTTCTTTGGCCCTTTGTCGTTTCAGGAGAAGAGGAAACGCCAAACAGAGATTGAAAACAAGCGGAGGCAGCTGGAAGATGACAGGAGACAGTTACAGCATCTAAAGGTAGAAATGGACCCTGGCCAGCCTAGCAAGAAAAAAGAACTCCTGAAAGGAAACTGAGGGTGGCTTTTAAAAGTACAACTCAGTTTTTAAAAAGAGGGAAGGGATAGAGCGTTGATAAGGAGCTGTAATGTGGTTTGTTACCATTGTTTCAGCTGTTTGAGTCACGCTGTTGGGTCAGATCCTGCTGCAGGGGTGTGAGGGTATTTCTTCTCTTGTTTGTCTTTTCTAGATCAGCGTGCAGCTTCATACTCCTAGGCATCCTTCCCTCCTATTTCTTACTGTCTTGTTTTTAGTTAGGAGAACAGGCTAACATGTATCAAAATCAGCTTTAGAGGCTTTTTTAAAAAAGAGCTTGGGAGTCTTTTCCCCCCCTGCACTATCAATATTTGGGTTCCCTAATTAGCATACTGGGAATTTAGGTTTTTAATCTGGAGTAATTTTCCCGTCTTTCTCTTTTGTAAGTCAGTTGTTTTAATTCTGTAAACAGTATGTTGAAAATGATTCACAAGAAAACGAAAACACCAGAGAGGGGAGGGTTCCATAAGGTAGCTGGCAGAAAAATCGAGGAACAACAGCAGCAAGAGAATTTACTAATGCAGAATAGAAAGAGGTCTGCCTAATTATAATATGCGAGATCTTGTAATTAACGAGGTGCTGGTCCCATAAATAGGCCTTGTTACTTCTGCGCAGTTGTGTGCACGCCTCTGGGTGGGACTGGCACTTTGTTAGTCAGCACCTCTTGGCCACTGGGAGTTCCAAAATTTAATTTAGTCATGCATAAGTCGTCACTAGAAATGAGGAAACATGCATTATACAAGCAGGATTATAGACGCATGGAACCAGTTGCTAGAAGGAATATTAATCTAGGAATGAAACAATAGGTTCTTAGCAGCTGATAATTGCTTTGTAAAAGTTTTCACGCAGAGACACAGCCCAGCAAGACAGAAATACATTTTATGGAAGAAATCTCAGAACTGTTCCCCACCGAGTACGGACAGTAGGATAACGCGCATCATCATAAAACATGGATAGCTACGAATCAGCTAATAAATAATTTCATTAGCAGCTTAAAACAGAATTGCGAGTCACATCTGTTGTTTACATTTCAGCTCCACTTTTAGGAAATTAGTTCTTAATGCACCATTAGGGCTCCACTGCTTTTGTTTCTGATTAATGTGCCTTAGGAAATTAGTTCTTAATGCACCATTAGGTGAAACAGAAGCCTTAAAGGAAATAACTTGAAGGAAGGGAATGAAGCCGCTATGACCACACCAGAAGAAAAGCCCGTGGGCTTTGAGTCTAGCCATGTGGCATCACTGCAGCTTTCCAGGCGTGTGGGATTGAAACACCTCGTTTAGAAGGAGAGATAACGGGGTTCTTCTTGGTTTGTTTCTCCTTTGAAGTCCAAGGCTCTGCGGGAGAGATGGCTGCTGGAAGGGACCCCCTCCTCCAATGCGGAAGAGGCCGAGGCCATGAAGAAGCAGATGGAGGAAGACGACCTGAAGGCAAAAGAGCTGGAGGTCAGCATCCAGAGGTGAGTTTTCCTCTGCTCTGAGGAAACCTGGCAGGGAAATGCCAGCTGGGGTACTGTTCTGGGATGAGAGAGCCGGCTGGAAAACTCTTCCACTGACTGGCTCAGAGGAGAAGGAGCCAGCTCAGTCTCTTTCAGGACAGGCACCAGGTTGGGCAAGGAGGACAATGGGCCGGCTGGCTTTCCTCCCCCTCCTCTTCCTCCCTGTCCTCCATCCTTTGTGCCTCCTCCAACATTTGGATCCATCTGAAAAAGTTCCCGGTGATGGCTAGGCTGCCAAGAATGGGTGGGACGCTCTCTCTCTCTCTCTCCTCTCTCTCTCTAAATGGGTGGGACGCTCTCTCTCTCTCCTCTCTCTCTCTCTCTCTCTCTCTCTCACACACACACACACACACACACACACACACAGAGAGAGAGAGAGAGAGAGAGAGAGAGAGGTGCACTGCTGGAGTCCTTCCCCTACAACCCCTAACCTTCTGGTTCTTGCAACTCCGTAGCCCATGCGGCCTGCAGAGGGATGTGCCCAGACAGTCTGGAGGCTGGATGGAACACCTTGCCTGTAACAAGGGGGTTGTCTCTCATGCCTTCTTTCTCCAACCAAGCCAGCCTGGTGTGCTGTTGTTGTTTTCGTCTGAATAGGTTTGCACAATTTATAATGATGATGATGATTATGATGATAACTGGCCTGGTTTTAAAGCAACCAGTTCCTAGCAACATTATGAACTTTAAAAAACAAAATTGCAACTTAAAAACGAAAACAAAAATCTGAACTGGCTTTGGCTAAAGCGGGAACCGATCTCGGGGAACATTTTTTTTTTGCTGCGTTTTCGGTTTGGCCCTCGCCGTTTGAATCTGAAACGTGCCCTTCCGAAGTTCCAGTGATTGATCCACAGAGTTCTCCTCCAGGACTGTGTTTCAAATGAATCCATTCTCTTCTCCCCGCCCTCCCCCCCGCCAGCTCTCTTAACTGTCCAGATTTCACTCCCTTAACAGAATTATAGACTTGGAAGGGGGCCTAATGGTCATCTAGACCAACCTGCATGAATGCTGACGCCTGGATGTTCTCTTTTTTCCTTTTAACCCCAGCTTCATTCACGGGGAGCTGTCGTGAAATACAAAAGAGCTCCCCCGACTTCTTTAAAAGGAAGCTGGGATGAAAAGAAACACAAATGAACTTTGCCATTTGGATTCCTCGTTTTTTGTTTTTTGTTTTAAAGGACGGCCTTTCTCCCCTGCCAGGAATGTTCTCTGCAGGAACAAATTACAGCATCGGCCACCAAGCCAACATAATTTTGTTCCTAGACAACGGTAGAGGAACAAACCCATTTCTTAAAACAAAAGCTGGCGGAGGATAAGAGGGGAAGATTATTTCCCACCAGAGCTTGTTTATGATAGTTCCATTATCAATCACTTATAACTCTTTATCAAGGAATTGCAACACCCCCCCCAAAAAAATTAAGGTTTCTGAGCTGTAACCCTAATCCTCTCTTCCACCCCCCCTCTGCTAGTGGTTGACTGACTCTGGGGGGAAAGGGGGAGATATTAGGCTTTAGATGAGACCCACCCACAGGAAAACTGGGCCAGAAGCAGAAAACAGAGCTGTTACGCAAGACATCCTGATCCGGAGAACGAGGGCTGAGCTCCAGAAGCAGAACCCGACCGAGTTCAACCTCTTGATATGCCAAAACATTTATTGATTGATTAGCTCACTCGGTCATGAACTTTTCTTTTTAAAAATTCAACCTGTATCGCCAAATGCACTTAAAAACAAAACAAAACTCAACATCTGGAGGGCATAAAGTTTTGGAAATCTGTTTTTAAAAGAAATCAATAGCCCAGGAGTTTAAGTTTCTGGTTGCAGAGCCAGAGGTTGGGAGTTTGATTCCCCCACTGGGTCTGTCCTGGACAGGGGCTGGACTCCGTGACCCATAGCGTCCTTTCCAGCTCTGCTCTTCTAAGATAGTGATGATGATGATGATGATGATGATCCTGAATGGATTAAGCTGCAAGTCTCTCTGATCTTTTTTTTTTTTTTTTTTTGTCCAGGTTAG